TGGAAGCTGTCCACAGTTAGCATGAAGTCACAAGTCATTGTAACCAATGGTTTGATCATACTGTACTGTGCTCGGAAAACGAGTGTAGCTGCCCGATACACACACAGAGGGCGCGATAGATAATTTGTCATCTAAATTACACAAAAATGAAAATAACACTGACATCTCATTTTAACAGATATATTTACCCAAATTACACAAAAATATCTTGAAATACTAAAGAGTAAATTTATTTGATAAAATCACCATTGGCTTCAACCACACCCTCCAGACTACTTCGGAATCTCCTGCAACTTTTCTGGACGGTCTCCTTGTTTAAGTTGATGAATGCTGCCATAATTCTTACCTTCAGTTCATCTTTGGTGTGTTACAAGGAGTTTTTTGTTGGTCTCTCAATCAACTGCATACCATACATAATAATCAAGAAGGTTGCAGTCTGGGGACTTAGGTGGCGAGATATAAGTGGTCATGTGGTCGCAGAAATTGTCTGATAGCCGTGACTAAGTGCTTGTTTCTGTGGCATGGTGTAGAGTCCTGTTACCAGTCATAGGGTCTTCCAGCAGCCATCCTCTTGACTCAGGGCAGCACTACCTCCTCAAGGCACTTGATGTAGGCCCCCATATTGAGTCTGAGGCCCTCACTAACCCATTTGAAAGTTCTTTTCTTAGAACAATTAGAGTGAGTTTTCAGAGCTGCTGTACCTTTGTAATCACCATTAGACTCATCAAATTTTTTCTGAATTCTCTATACTGTCCTCAGATTGACACTCAAACACTCTGAAATGTTTGTACTGGAGCTTCTGGTGCAAATGCCAAGCAGTACAGCAGGCTGTTTTCAAATTTCTGGCAGAGTTAATTGCGTCATAGTACTCTAACCCTAACTAACCCTACTATACTGTGTAGTTGACAATGCGCATACGCAAAATTAAAAATATAAAATGGCAACAATAATTTACTCACTGCACACACTATATATATATATATATATATATATATATATATATATATATATATAATGTGTATGTGAGTATGTGAAAATTTCAGATAGAGAATATGTGTAAAAGGACAAATGGAAAACTTATCTTAGTTGACACCTTTCGGCCTCTAGAGGGTCTTTACCAAGACAAATGCAAGAATTTTATTTTGTAACACATATTTACAGTGGTGCCTTGACTTATGAGTTTAATTCATTGTGTGATTGAGCTCATAAATCAAATTTACTCATATATCAAATCAATTTTCCCTAGTGAAATAAATTGAAATGCCATTAATCAATTCCAGACCCCCAAAAATATCGCAATCTTTTTTTTTTTTTTGTATCATGTTTAGAGATAGGAAAATCTACTTATAAATAATCAATATTGTATAAAAACACAATACAAGAGAATGTACTGCAAACTGGTTTTTATTAAGTATAATGTACAGCATTTACCTTGGAGATCAGAGGACTTGAAGATGCTGACGGAGTTAAAGAAAAAAGGCTGAACTGAATAACTGAATCTTATTCACTGATTTTTGTCCTTTTCATCACACTTTCCTCACTTTCATCTGCAGGAGTTTTTGATAAAAAAAACCTGTCCAATGAGGTCTGTTTCATCCTACATTTCAATTAGGCAAGTGTCATTAAATAGCGTTGTTGAATACACAGCTGCAACTTTTTCTAAGTATTTCTTTTCAATAAAGTCTGAAAGTTTCTCCCACATTCTTAACATTTCCTTTATCTCACTTGTAAAGATAACCTCTTCCATGTCACCTATTTCCTCCATGTGCTGCTGCGTCTATAGCGCCTCTGTTGTCAGTTCTTTGGAGTGCTCCTCAATGAGCTCATTGATGTCATCTTCATCCATGTCCAGGACCATGGACTTGTCAAGGGATACAATCTCTTCCACCACTGCCACTTCAGGTTTGATTCTTTGAAAGTCCATTTCAGACACAATCTTAGCCCACAGCTTTTTCCACGTAGAGGTCAAGGTCCTCTTTGTAACACCCTGACATGCCATATTGATAATTCTGAGGCATATCATGATGTTATAGTAGTCCTTTCAGAACTTTTGAAGGTTTGTACTCTCCGTCCCCTCAAAACAGCGGTGTAACAGGGGCTTGGTGAAGGGCTTCTTGAAATTAGAAATTACCTGCTGGTCCATGGGCTGCAGGATAGGGGTGGTGTTAGGTGGGTAGAGAACCTTTATAAACTTGAAATCTTTGAGGATGTCATTTTTGAGGTTAGGTGGGTGAGCAGGTGCATCATCCAGGATGAGAAGGGCTTGCAGGGGCAGGTTATTTTCCTGGATATATTACTTAATGTCAGGACCAAAGGCCAAATTCACACACTTCACAAAGAACTGCCTGGTGACCCATGCCCTTGGGGTTGCCCTCCACATAACCTGCAGTTTTTCTTTCAGAATCTTATGTAACGTAAAGGCTCTGGGGTTTTTCGAATGATTATCAAGCAGTGGCTTAATCTTGCAGTCATCACTTGCATTACTGCACAGTGCAAGGATTAATCTATCCTTCATGGGTTTGTGGCCTGGCATCCTCTTCTCCTCTGCCACTATATAAGTCCTCCTTGGCATCTTCTTCTAAAAAAGTCCTGTCTTGTCACAGTTGAAGACTTACAGGGGGATGTGGATGCCAGTCCTCTTCTTATAATTCTCAAACCAGCCCTGACTGGTTTTAAATGACTCACCCCATGCCTCATCCATCGAAGTACCTGGCATCTGCTTCAGCAAATCAGCATAAATAGCTTGTGCCTTCTTGCAGATTATAGCCTCTCCAGTGAGCTGCTTCTCCATCAACCACACCATCAGCAACTTCTCCATATTTTCATGGACAGATGTCCACTGTTTACAAATTATTTGAATTCCCTTGTCGGAGTTATCTTAATTTCTTAACTGATCACTAGGGCACACTCTTCATACACTATAATTACTGGGCGATTTCTTGCCTTGTTCTCTTTTTACTTTACATTTCAGCGGACACATTTAAAAATGTGATCTCTCACAGATATCTGCATTTTTCCCACTTGTGGGAAAATGCCATGAAACACACACGCACACATACGTACAAACATTCATCAAAATACAAATCCTTTATGTTCATGCACAAACACAAATGTTAATGTCTATGATCATTGTAAATTTTGTTGTTTAATACATATACTTCTTTGTATCTATATATCAGTCTTGTTTGTTTTCTTTACACTTCTTTATGGTGAATTCAATCTCTGAGTCTGCCATGTTCTTGTAGTAGACCTTTTAATATTCTAGCAGGAATAAATACACGTGTTCCCAATTTAACAACACATAAACCCACAGTCCGCTACACTCTTGGCTGGCATTACAGTCTTTATCAACTCCTGCTTCAGTATGGTGCAGATTGTAGAAGTGCTATGCTCGTACTGCTTCACCAAGTTGACTACACGCGCACCTTGGTCATTTTTTTGATAATTTCTTTCTTTAATTCAATGCACATCATTTGCTTCTTCTTTTTTCTCAGCGGTGTCCTTCACACTCACTTTCTTTGGACCCATGGTTGGAAAAACAAAGTTTTTCAAAATAACTGCAAGCACAAATTCAAGCACAACACTGATGTTTTCACTGCAAGCCAACTGCTTAAAATGATTGAGTGAGACGCAGGATGCTGGGCAGATTTTGTGGCTTTCACTGTAGTATCCACTGCTCCAACTAGTGGTGAGTTATCTGAAGCTGGCTCATAACCCAAATTTTAGCTCTTAACTCAAAACAAAAATTGGCCAAGCTTGTATCTTGAAAAACTCATTAGTTGGGACACTCATAAGTCAAGGTACCATTGTATATACAAGAACAAAAATGATATTGTTTTGCAAAATTTTTAAACTTAAGGAAACTCATAAATATTCATCAGGTTAGCTGAAAAGTCAGGCAAACAATAGAGGTCATGAAGTGACACAATTCAATGTTGAATAAACAAAAGTGATGTTTTGGAATTTTTTTTTTTTTTTTTAAATGCAAATTAGAATTTAAATTATTTTAGTTTGGGATCAATTTATGTGTTATATATTTTTTAACATTTTCATATGTATGTTGGCTTGGAAATGTAGTAATTCTTTCAGGGATGGAGATACTGAAAAAAAAAATTGGGGGCACAGATTTACATTTTGATAAAATTTGATAGAAGAAAAATTCTCAAGTATCACTAAGTAAGTTACTTTCTCTTTTAATAAGTGTGGCATTTTTTTAGATCAAAGTGGGGGTTGAATTTATTTCTCTGTATAACTAATGCATTTGATAAATTGTGTAAAAGATCCCTTTTGTGTCCTAGATGATTTTTAAAATTTCTGCAAATTTTCCCAATGTTCTGTGAAGAATTTATTTTATATCTACCTGCTTCAGAATTATTATTGTTATCGGTATTTTTGGTTCTGATCATATCCATAATAGTTGTTTAGATAGGGTATAGTTTTTTGGATAGTGGATATTATGGAGATAGTATTATGTTTTTTTTTCTAGTTTATCATTGTTAATAATGTTTTCTTCTATGATGTCATATATTTTGTATGCCTTTCTCTTAGCGTTGGGGAGGACATAATAATAATAATATTGGTGGTTTTTAAAAATATTTAAAATATACAAGCTTATATATATATATATATATTCAAAATTATTTTGCTAATTAAGATAAACTTGTCCCACTTAAGTGGTCAGTATGTAGTCGGTTTAAAGATATTTATTATCAATTCTTACATGTATTTCAGTGAAACATCTTCTAGTAAGTTTTATTATTACAATTTTCATTGAAAGGTAAACTGGTTTGAAATCACAAAAAAGCAAAAAACACACGATCCATTGAGCATTGAATAATTTATTGTTTTGAATTGATTTTTCTGTCAAGGGAGGTATCTCTGTTTTGTTACATATGTCATATATATATATATATATATAGTATAAAAAATAATCATTCTTCAGAGAAATAAAAGGAGGAAATGTTTTTCTTTATTCAATAATGTAAAAGAATTTCACTTGCTCAGGCCAAAGATAACTCAGAACCTGAAAGATAAAGTTAATACAGAATTACATGATTTTGTTACTATTTTTAGGACAATTTTTATTCTGTTTGTGTGTGCGTGAAAAATGAAAAAAAATTTGTTTTGCATGTAAAAAACAAAAAGAAGATGCATATAAGTGTGCATATCAGTCAGTTAAGTGCCATACATGATAAACATTTGAGCAAACATGTCTCTTTCCATTCATGACTAACTAGGCAAAAGATATTTCACAGTGTAGGCTGTCATTTCTTTCTGTGGTAGACTGCTTGCCAACCAAGGCTATAGGACTCATCCTATCCTGCTATTCAACCTATAACTAAGGGTAGAAGAGATAGATTTATAATTTTCCCAAGGGCATTTGCATCTGAATGTAACAAACTTGACTGGAATTCAAACATGGCCTCCAATTTCTCATGCTGAGCTGTTACCCATTACACCACATGGCACATCCAGTAAATTGTACAATGTGCATGTAAAAAACGCTCTAATCCTCAATAGAAGTGCTGTATATATACTTGATAATGACATATAAATTTTTATATATCAAGAACAGTTTTGGAGGAAAGATGTATGACAAAGTAGAAAAAGGTTTTGTGAGACGCATTTCATTCTTTAGGACTCCATCAAACTAATTAAGTCCTAAAGAAGAAAATATGTTAGGTAAAAACTTTTTCCACTCATCATATATCTTTCCCCTAATACTTGTATTATGTCAAAACCATCTGACTCCAAAAAAAATAAAAGGAGTGGATATAGGAATTGTGTATACATGTGTTACTGTTGTCTAGTGGTTGTGAATTCAATCTCTGAATTGGGTAGAGAAGCATAAACAATAAAACATAAAACAAACAATCAAAAAAAATGTTGTGTTTATAATAACATCTATATCAACCAAGACGAGAACAATAGTTCAAAATAATAAAAGTATATTACTCATCTCTGCTATTAAATATTAAATTAGAAGTGTGGTTTTATCAGTAATGTAAAGAAATTTCACTTACTCAGTCCAAACATAATTCAATACTTAAATTTAAGTTAATACAAATTTATATCAGTGACTATTTTTAGGACAATTTCTCTAATGATATTTGAGTAATTATTGATGTATTAACAATCAAGCTGTAACTTGCTTTTACCTTTGGATAATTTTTTTTATTTTCTCACTTTACCTATGCCTGCACAGAAAACAAAATCAATTTCAATTATTCCCTGACATAGTAGACCATCAGAGTCCTTCATGGTATTTCTTAGAGTATTGGGAGGTACTTGAAAATAGAATTAGATAGAACTCCTCACCTAGCAAGCAGATAACTGACATGAGTTAGTACCCTTGGTACAATTAGAGAATTAGACTGAACCTGAGAAGGGGTTGGAACAAGATGTACTGCAACCAACGTCCAGACTCAACACCAATGGAGAACCAAAGATAATCCTAGATGGTCACCTATCGCCTCACCTTAAAGAGTACAACCATCAATGTTTTTCATGTTTTATTGTTGTTTTGCATGGTTACATTTAATAAAAATAGTAAACATACTTTGGCACCATTCTTTATATTTCTCTTAGTCTTGAGGTAAAGTAACAACCCAACATGCTCTAAATAATATGCATTGTGTGGTACTGGCAATAGAAAATAATCTCTGACCTGATTTGTTTCCTTTCTGTGAACCTGTGACACTATTTAAATAGAATGGTCCCCCTCATAAAAAAAAATCATAAAATATAGGGAAAATTTATTTTAGGAAATAATTTTTGTAGAACAGCATTTTTCAAACATCAAATTGTCGCAGCTTAATAAAGCTGCAACAATTTGATTTTTTATTAACACTTTCACTGCTACTCATTTGCCCAGTGCTGCCTCCATCCGGCCAGCCATTTTTAAAGAAAATGCCAAATTTCAATGTACATATTTTATTACACAGAAAACTGGCACCAGTGTGTTTTACAGCATTCCATTTTCATGGATATACCTGGGAATGACTTACCAGATCAGTAATGGGTATACACATGATATCTTTTGAAGCATTGTCCTTTGTGATTTGACGATAGATGGCACAACGGGACACTCATATCAGTGGTATGCCAAAAACATAGGTTTCCGTACTTAGCCAGCTGGAGCAAGATAAGAAAAACGAAGATCTCCATAGTTAGCAGCGGAAGTGTTAACTTAGAAGTGGTGGTCCTGTTTATGATATCAATACCTGACTTTTACAGAGTTATTAGTCTTATGTTTTGCATATAAAAACAAACTTTTTTTTAGTTTGGAGTTGCAGAAAGATTTCTCTTAATGAACAAAAATTTACATAAATTAATTATGCTTCTGTTCTTAATTTAAAGTAAATAATTATGAACCTCAAATATTTGTGCATGTACTTCCCAAAAAAATCCCAAAAAAAAAAAAAAAAAAAAAAAAGTTAAAGAAATTAAAAAAATGTGTAAATATCAATGATGTTAGCACATTTTAAAACTTGACATTTGTAAATAACAGTAATGTGATTTGACTTAATATAAATAACTCTTCAAAGTAAGGGACTGGTCTGACACTATATCGTTATTATGAACAGGACCCTTCTAAAATGGTAACTGATGTAATGGAATAACCTGTCACCCCCCAGGAGTGACTACACTATAGGTAGTAACTACATATAAGTATCTGTAAGTCAACAGACTACAGAGACTATCCGAAATCTTTTCAGCTAAATGGTTGAACTTTCAGCCGAAGGGCAGAGTCTCGTTTGGGGAGGTTGACCAACACAATCCTGCTATGTGGGTTCTACGGACATTTTTTGGCTGAGTGTACAGGCTTGGAGAACCCACGTTAAACACGGCCTTGTGACACATGCACTCCTCGTGGTGGGGTGGCTAAATATACTAGCCGAAATTTTTTCGGCTGGCAGGTTGACTCTCTGCTTCTGAGCAGAGAGGAACCTGGATGAGGCTATGCCAAAGGGCAGAGCCTCGTTCGGGGAGGGTGACCAACCCGATTCCATTTATGCAGGTTCTACGGGCATTTTTTGGCCGAGCCTATGGGCTTGGATAACCCACGTTAAACTCGGCCTTGTGCCACATACAACCCTCATGAGGAGGTGGGCGGTTAAATATACTAGCTGTAATCTTTTCCAGCTGTGCTGGTTGAACTCTCTGCCCCTGGCCAGAGAGGATCCCCTGATGAGGCTATGCCAAAGGGCAGAGTCGTCTCGGGGAAACAGCTACTCAACCCCATTTTTATACAGGGTCAGTGGGGAATTTTTGGCTGAGCCTATGGGCTCAGATACCCCACATTAAACTCGGCCCTGTGCCACATCTGATCGAGAGGGGAGGTTAGTAAATACACTTGCTGGGATCTGTTGTTACACGAGAACTACTGACCTTCCAACAGTAGCACTCACTACTGGATTGACTTGCGACAACCTTGTGCATAACTGTTACCTTTATTCTTATTGTACTATTTTTTTTACAACAAACCTTTACTTATTTTATCTACCTTGTTTTTCAAGTATATATTCCTATTAGCATGGAATATAACAGTAACAAATCAATATTTTTCAATTCTGACAAGTATTATGGCCTAATGAAAATCTAAAGAAGGTTAACCTACAAAAGTTTTCCAATTTTTTTTTTTCATGAGTGAACCAGTTTACATAAGTAGTTCCTCTCTTGAAATGCTTTTAAATATGGCAGACATCTGAAGAATGTGAAAGAGTGGCATATTAGTTGAAAAATTGTAATAAAAATAATTATTATTAAGGAAAAACAATTTCTGTTTGAAATTGCAGAAGTTTAGAGTTTATATATATAAACTACTGCAGGTTAAATTTATATATTTCATAAGCTTAATTCTAATAAAAGTACTAAGTGACTGAGGTGGGATAGGGGGGTAGTTTAACAGCCCCCCAATCTTATCACGACCACTCCATTCACTGTTTACAGCCTTTAAATGATTACCAGACCTCACCCCTTATAAGACCTTATTTATTGCATACTGTGAAGAATTCTGACCCCACCAATTATTAAAAGCCCTCTCTTTATATTAGACACCTAAGAGTTTTGGTCTACATCAGAGCTAGCTTTAAGTCAAATGGACCCACATCAGAGCATCTACTCTAGAGTCGTCAAATACTGAGATTGGCAAGTACTTGGAGAATGGTGTAGAGCGTAACAGCAGAAACATTGTGATAGTATCAACAAAAAATGAGAATAATTATTGGAATGTAAATAGAAAGAACTTATCTGGTGTGAAAATTTGCATTTGAAATACTGTTTTTTTTTTTTTTTTTTCTCATGTGTCATAGTGCAACGGTTATCTGTACAGACAAAAAGTAGAATGACCTGAGGTCAGTTACTGTTTCATTCACTTTGCACTACTGCCTTTGAAAAAGGCATAAATCCATCTTCCTCTAGCTATGGGTTAAATAGCAGGGTAGACTGAGCTCTTTAGCCTTGCAGAGCAATTAGGCTAGAAGTACAAATCTGAATTCAAAAAGAAGTCTGAAGATTGTGGACTATCTTTCTGCAGCCCATGAAGAACCATTTTTATGAACAATATTTTCCTCAAATTTTAATAAATTTGTCTCTCACCACATTTCATACTTTTGCAGTAGAAATATTGAACTTGAGCTACCATCCCAAATGCAAACAGTCAAGCAATTTTAAGATCAACAGCATCTGTTGTAGTTCTTCTCTAGTGAAGGAAAGAAGACTTGATTGCAACACCACCACGTATTCTTCACCAGTGATGTAATGAAAGATTATAAATGTACTTTCCGACAATGTCCCAAGATGTTCTTTTTTTTACTTTACAAGAAAGAATAAATTAGACAACTCATATTAGGGAAAGCTAACCCTCCCATCTCGGCCATGAATATTTTGAACCCCCACCCAAAACATCTGTGAATGTGATGCAAACTAATTTTAATGTGAGAAAAATGAGCTTCTACCAGTGGGCCTCTTCTAGAGTTTATGCCACCCCTACACAGGAGCTGATGCTCTCTCATTTGGTTATATATCTGCTTCTGGCCCACTGCACCTCTCCCTCAACATGTAATGGCCTTTTTGTATCCTTGTGTTTGAGACCCCTACCTTAGACACACTCACAGATACTATGGCTGCAGTACCTGGGGTACCACTATGACCCAAATGAGTTACAGGACTTGTGATCATGATTGGTATTGGTAGGAAATATACAGCTACCTTAGTGATGAAACAGGCCAAATTGAAATGTTAGGGGAGGGAGATTTGAATATCAAATGGCAAATAAAACTATTATGTGTTTTTAATTATATTAATATAACCTAGCTTAAATGCCCCCTTACTGGGCAGCATTTAAGCTAGCTCCTGCGGAGATCTCTTAATTGGGCATTTGGCTTGTTCAGGAGTTTGAGAGTCCTTAAGTCTTTGCATATTTTCAGCATTGGAAGATCTCCTTGCTGCCATTTGATCTGCATTTTCATTTGCACAGGACTTTTTTTTTCTTTGCTGTAACCTTGGCTCCTTTGATTGCAATCCGGTTCTCTGTTGGTGGAAATTTCTTTTTGCAAGGTTTTCTGCTGCTGTATGGTAACAATAAATTACAGAACTCAAAATTGATTGCTGCATTTAAGTATTGCATTATTTAAGCTTACCTTTTAAAAGTTCAATGATAATTATTCTGCTGCCACTTGATGTACATAGGTCCTTACTTTCCCTACAAACAATTATTTTTATGTTATGGTTAACTTTCGCTGGATTTCGCAATTAATTTTGATTATTCCCAAATTTATTTCCAAGTTATAAAAATTGTTACTGTACAAAAAAAATAAAAAAAAAAAAGATATTGCCAAAAATAATCACAGTAATGAAAATTTGGGAATCCAAAATTTCTGTAATATGAGCTATTAAAAGTTAGTGTCCTTTTAATTGAAAAGTATAGTTGTTAAACTTACCTGATATTGTGTAAGCTCTTTTAAAATATTTCTTTTCAATCACACCGTTGAGATTTCCAGGACTCAGTATGATGCCATTGTCAGATTCAAAAAATTTTATGCCATCTAGAATTAAAGAATACAATGAAATTTTTGACCAGATTTTAAGATGTCTTGTAGCTGCCTTCTGAAATTTGCTTAAGTGAAATATACTGCTGATGCTTATAGCTAGCTAGCTAGCTAGCTAGATAGATAGATAGGAGAGAAAGAGAGTGAGTGAGAGAGCAGGTGCTTCTGTCAGACCAATTATACAAACTAGTTTTAACCCATTAAAAATTTCAGTTTTCCTGTTTGAAATTTCTGATGACTTAATTCTTAAATTAATTGCAAATTCTACAATAATAAAATATCTGTAGAAATTCCTCTATCACTTCATTAAAATTAAATATTACAATAACAATCATAAATATTAATGCTGGTTGTTATTTTAAGAAGTTAGGTGGTACTAATGAAAAGATTTGAAATTGACAACTTGTTCCATTTCATTGAAACAGTCATTAACACTTCTATCTTTTTCTTTTATTTTCTCACTGAAACCACATGGTGTCTTTGATATGTCTTTTGTCTTCTCTCACAATCAAAATGGAATAGTCCATTATTTATGAGATATTAGCATGAAGATTTTGATGATAAAACTTTCATTTTATTAAGTTTGGAGCACTTTTCATCATGTATGCTCATTTTTTTTTTAGTGAATCTATGAAGGTATCTAGTTAAATAAAATTCCTTTTTTAAATTTTTTTTTTTTTTTTTTTAATTTTGTAGAAAACATTTTTAGATATGTAGACATAAATGCACACAGAAATTGATTGAAATAGAAATGGACATATGTAGCAAGTGTTGATTTCCCTTTCTCTCTGGCAACCAGGAAAAGGTTATAAGCCAACTCTTTGAAGTCATTTTTATGATTCTGTTGTCAATTTGTTCTGGTGATGTGTCAGCTTTGTCTGAATGTATTTGATTTTTATTTATATATATATGTAATTTTGTTTGGAGTTTAAAAAGACATCATTCCTACAATGGAAAGAGATAAAGACATCATTCCTACAATGGAAATAGATAAATTACAAACAAATTTATATACAAGATACAGCACAATTAGTATGAACAAAAACAAAAAAGGACTTTTGCATACATTTCAGAGAAAATTGTATATTTTAAAGAACATATGGTATATAAAGATGAAGTAAAGACTAAATTTACTGTCTATAGTACCATTTATTGTTGACTCCATTTGGTTATAGTGTTTAAAATGGTTGACTATCATCATAGTTCTTTTTTGTGATTTGAGAGTTGTTGTGTTCCTTCTGGTTGATGGAAATTAATTCGTTGCATTCATCCTTTCTTCTTTCTCTTCTGGAGTTGTATGTCAGATCAAACTCACAGCTGATGAATCACCAACCCTTGCGTCTCGAACTGCTACCTCAAATCAAGTTCCTCTCCACTGTGGCATTTCTTATCTCGTATGTGGTTTTCTTCTTTTTATTGGGGCTGACACATCTGTGTTTCTTGTTTGATTTTTGGCAGGACATGTTGTCATTGGTTGATTTTTTATGATGTTCACTGACCCACATAAACTAAGTCTGGGTTCATGTCCGTTGCCGAGGATAAGAACAATAGAAGGAAGGAAAGGAAATATATAGGAGAGAGAGTTTTTTTTGTCACTCAGTAAAGAGGAAAGTGTATATTTTCATATGGTGTTATTACTACCTAATCGTACTACAAACATATACAGAGATAAAAAGTTTTTGCTTATCTGATTTGGCAGCAACATGTGTTGTCAGAGTGCTATCCCTGGACATCTGCTTCATTTGGTCATCAAAGATGAAAGGTAAGAAAATTTGATTCCTGTTTCAATTAGTGGCAAAAATACCTGTTCTAGTGCATGTTGGGAATTTTTATATTTATTTAATTTTGTATAAACTCACTTTTTCTTTCTTTATTGTTAATTATCATTTTATCTATATTTTAAAGTGATTTTATTATTTAACTTTTAATTTTTCTTTTATTATTTTGGTTTCGTATTCTTACATAGTCTAATACTAAGGGTTAAAGGTTATTTAGTAATTTATTTGTTGCTATCACCATAATTCAGTCTATAAACTGAATATATATTTTTTAATAAATGTAGCATTTTAAATGGACAATTTAGATTTGAAATTTAATCATCTTGCCATCAGCAACAGGTTTTGGTTCTAGTTTCATCTTTTTTTTTTTTTTTTTTTAAATCATTTCACTCCAAGCAAGGCAATAAAAAACACCAGGATTCAAGGAGAGTTACTGAGAGTAAAAGAAACAGAGAGGACAATTAAAAAACAGGATTCAAAGAGACAGAAGATGACATTTGACATTATATTTTAAGTTTTTGAAGATTGTAGTTGGAAGCTGGAAAAGAGTTCCACAAGCAAGAAGTGCCAGAGAAGAAACTATTAGCAAAGAACTTATGATTACAAAAGAACATATACCTTTTCAGGCTTTATCATTTTATTATTTCAATTACTCATTCTTAATCTGATATTTCTAGATTTGAATGTCATATCTTCCATTTTCTTTGATGCTATGTCACCTTTAATTCTATTTAATTTTAGACAAAAATAATTCAATCCAGAGTAATTTAGATACAAACCTTTTTTGGCTTTATCTATGTCAATTTCAATAATGATATCTCGATTTGGTGGAATACCTGAAAAATAAACACATGGATTATTGCTTCTGTCTAAATTTCTGGGATGAGAGGTTATCATTATTTACATTCAGACTAATGTCCTCATCTTATCACAACATTTCAAGCCCTGTGCAGTTCACCCTTCAGGTGTTTGTTGATTTGGGTAACCTTACACTTTAATTTTGACTGGTCATTATCAAATGTAAATAAATGACAGAAATGCCCAACAGAATTGACAAAGTTTGCAATAAACAACAACAAGAAAAAAAAAAAGAACAGAGCAAAAATCTAATATAAATCAAACAAACAATATATGCAAGGCAAATTAACAGTAATAAGGCAAAGCAACAGTAATATGGCAAAATGTTCACAAACTAAGAATTGGAAGAGCAAGTTTGTATACGTGCACGTAGCATTCTGACTTCAAGACTGAGACTGAGTCATGTGAAATCAAGAACCGGCCTATTTTATTGGCTAGGAAAAAAATCCCATCATGCATTTGTGTGCTTCTGCCTATAAAATGGGAAGGAGAAACTATTTGGCAGTCATTCCAATTAGATTGGAATCAACACGACCCTTCGTAAGAAATCTAAGAAAGTTGTTAATCCAGAGGTTACTGTAACCAGCATGTAAGGAGTCCTCTTGTTGATTAATACATCAGCCAATGACAGCTCTGTCTCATTTCCACCTTGGTGGACAATTGAAAAACTCTCTCTCTCGTTTGACAACTGAATGTCGATGAGCGAGATATGTTCTGAGTTGTCTTTCTAACAACCATATGGAAACGTCAACAAACATGTATGTATCATTTGAATAAATATCTCTAATGAGATTATATATAATTTGAAATTCATGTTATTTCAATTTTCTTTTTGTTGTGGCCCATTATTAAGAACTTACCCACAGCAACAAATTAATCTGCAGGTAGATTGTCTTCATTCTGATGTCTATGTCTCGAGATATCTTGTTCAACTATTTATTTTTTCAAAATTTCACTCAATACAAACTCAAGAGCTATTCAAACTAGAGGGTTACTGAATGAAATGCATAAAAGTAGGTGGTAGGAAGTAAAAATTATGACGATAGATAATGATTCACCATTGACTTGAAGAGGTTATTGTTGTCTTCTTATCTTATGATGCAGCCACTTGAATCCAAGGATGCCAGTCTACTAGGGTGGCTAGCTGATCCCATTGCAGACGCCTGCTCAGGCACATTTGTGTTTGTTCAACACCCACAAAGCACACCTGTGGTTTATACTGCAACTATGCTGAGCAGACCTTAGTTACAGTTTCTGGAAGAGAGCGTGTTATCTAACGTAAATAACAGTCTGAACAAGGCTAGCATGCTTAAACTCTCAGTCATGATGACTTGTTACTTTGTGCTAGCATAACCAACTACAGTTCCCAAGGGTTCCGTCTATCCAATTTAACTCACAAGGCTTGGGTTAACCTGTAGTATGATTTTCAGGCCCATCCAAATGTGCTGCATGCTGGAATCACCTCCTCCTGACCGATAACATCAAGAAGTCACATTCCTGACAAACTGACCATGGTGAAATTTGAACCTGGGTCTCATGGTCAGAAAGAGAGCATTCTAACCACTTGGCCACATGCCCAACTGAGTTATGGTTGTAGTATTCAGGGAAACATTCATGTGGGAGTCTTTTCCACAAAATAGCAGTTATTGTGAAAAAGTTGTCTGAGAGGAACTTACATATGGAGGAAATGAGAGTAATTCAACTCTGTGGACATAGTATGACATGTCCTAACTGTAAAATATCTGAAGTGGTGAAACTGAATGAAGCTGATCTGAATATTTGCCATTGAAATAGTGATAGAGAAGTGATCGGCTTACAATGTTGCAACTGTGTATCTACACTGTGCTGTCCAAGTGGTAGCTTCCCAGGTACCAAGTTATAATTGATGTACAGAAGTAGATTGTTCTCATTCTACTGTCCATGCTAGAGGATATCTTCTATTAGAATACAAGTTAGAGAACAATATTGGAAAATAAAATGATTGAATGAGACAGTGCACTGATAAACTCCATCAGTAGACCTAGTATAGAAATGAACACAATATTGCACATCTGAAGATGAATGACAAAAATAACATTAAAATTAAAATTATTCAATTACCAACATATTTAAATTACTTATGTAGGTATTTTAAACTATAATTTGAATATCTATTTTAAAAAATGTTGAATATACGTTTGAGGTACTTACCACTTTTACAGCTAGGGTCATGAGAAGCCATGTGAATGTTATTCCTTTGCTTTCGAGATATCCCCTAAAATAAAACAAATATAAATGATTACATAGTGTGATGCAGTTTATAGTAGGATATACATGAGCTAAACATAAAATAAAATTATTTCACATTTTGCTACAACTGTTCTAATATTTAGTAAGTTTATTTTAGTTTTGATTTATTTAAACCATATCCTCCCGGTGTCAGTTTAAACTGATAGCTTTTTTCCCCTCTGTATATCTACAAGGTAATCAAAAAATATTATTAGAAAAAAAAAGTATACAGAACATTTGACATACTGTTTGTCCTCAAAGTAATCCCCATTGACATCTAGAACATTTTACCTATGTGCTCCAGCTCTGGCAGTAAAAATCAGGTATCTTAGATGTAAAGAAGTCTGTGAGTAAAAAACAAGTTTCCCCTCATTTGCAAAGGATTTCTCATGGTGATTGTCCAGGGAATGGAAGAGATGGTAATCTGTTGCCCCAAGGTCTAGGGAATAAGGTGGATGGCACAGTGTCTCCCAGGCAAGTCGCTGTATAGTATCCCTGGCCACCTGAAACCTAACATTGTCATAGAGGAACAGTACACCCTTACTATTAACCAGTGATGGCTCCCTCTGCTTCAGAACCTGTTGCACACATTACAATTGCTGTGAGTACAGGTCTGCAGTGATGTTTTGGTTCGTTTGTAGCAGCTCATAATGTACCACTTGTTGACTAGTATACTAGATACAAAGCATGATCTTGCATGGATGTGGAGGTGGTCTTGTGGTGTGAGACATGCTTGGGAGGTTTTTTCCCATGGCACCACTTTTTAACAATGTTTTAAAAAGCAATGGTTAGAATTGTTATTACAATTCTAATAATAATTCTAAACCTAAACATATGAAAGTGAATTGACAACAAAAAATAATAAACACTATTAGATTTTTTATTTACACTATTTATTTATTATATTATTTATTGGAATGGTTGTCAAAATATTGGCTAATTACCAATTGATTCAAACTTTATAAAATGGTAAATAATGACTTTAGGTGTCTTGGATGCAAAGTTGGTTCACATATTTTGATAATTTAGTAAATGTTTATGAATAAAAATTGTTTTCATATTTATTTCTTTATAAATTGATAAATGATAAATATTGCATTGCATTATTTCTAATATTAGTTTTTAGAATGTTGTGAATATAAAATTATTCTTGTAAATAAACAATTTCGCAACATCATTCCAAGTATAGAGTAAAGAGACCAGATGTGGAACTTTTCCATTTTTTTGATGTGTCTGTGGTACAAAGTTCAGGTTTCACATGTTTAAATTATTGGTAAATGATAAATATTGCATTTAAATTAAATATATATAAATTTTGTTAGATTAATTAAATATAAAATTATTCTTGTAAATAAACCTCTAACTAACAAAAGTGTTTAATATTTTTATTGTAAAGAATCAAGAACAAAAATAAAAATAAATTCAAGTTCCTATGTTTAGGTTTCAATTGCAATTTAATCACTCCTTTTAAAACAATAAACATGGAGTGATGATATTTAAAAAAAAAAAAAACCGGTTTAATTGGAAAAAACAGACCAGTTGATAATTTTGTTTTTTGGTTGAACACTGTTATAAAGGTCTATATTTACTGATTTTTCCGTCTTCTTTTTTGACCATCAATTTCTTTTTCAAGGGAATCATCTCGATTTTGAAGATTGATTATACAAATGTTCTTTGTAAACTTGGAACCATTCATAAATGAGACTACTTTAAGGTGAGTTATAATTGATTTTTGCAAAAAGAAAACGGTCGAATACAAAGGGTTATGTTACGAAAAAATAAAACTACTCTAAAAGAGATTAATTACATTATGGAGACTATCGTAAATAGGATGAGGTGGTTTTATCTGCGAATTTTTTTGTGGTAGAGTTTTTTTTTTTTTTTTTAAAGCAAAAATGAGAATAAAGGGATATTCAGGAGTTCTTTTTGAACAAAGGTGGAAAGAACCATATTTAGGTGTGGTCCGGTTTACTAGACATAGGAGTTAAAAATCATGCAAAAAAAAATTCAAAAAAAAAAGCAATACTAAATGTCCATTTTATAGTGCCATCCATCACTTCAGAATGTAGCTTAGATGTGGCAATTCAAAATTGGGATCACCCAGTGGGGCTGAACTGACTAGCCAGTGTAATTGTTGTCCTGAGCCAAGCTTGTTAATCACTCACCGCCTGGACAGGCAGACAAATAATGTCGGAATAAACACCTACATATAAGAAACTGGATTCTTATTTTATTTGTACAATTTGTTGAATTTTTTTCATCATGTTTTTCTAGCATGTTGAGATAAAAAAAAAGTGAAGCTTACATGAAACTGATGGGAAAAATGTCTCGTAAAAGTTATTGTTTATTGTATTATTTATTGACCAGACATAAATTTTGATGAAAATATCACGTTTTATTTTTAAAAAATTTAAGATATGGAAAAGTTAAAGTTTTTTTTTTTTTTATATGGTAATTTTAAACAATCTTATTATTTTGAATAAATATTAAAATATAAAGAGAACTTTAAACTAAAGAATATTCAAAAGTAATGCCCAATTTCTATTTTTATTTCTTTTAATTGTTTTGTCCATAATTTGAGGTAGAATACACTTTGACTTTCAAGTTTAATTTTTATTTTAAACGTTTTTATTCGGGAAAATTGTTTATGGGACCTGTAAAAATAAAACAATTTAAAAAAAAAAAAAAGAATAATTAACAAAAACGAAGACAAATATTAAAAATGTTAGTTCTGTTTTTTTTTAATATTTTCATTACAAATTCAAGAGCCACCAAAGTGTGAGGGTTAATTAGATTTTAACAAAGATTGAGCATTTGGAAATAAAACATTGGATATTTTGGAAGTTAAACAGTGAACCAGAAGACAAAAAAAATAAAGATTGTAAAAAATTCCCCAGAACCTTGAAATGAAAGCCAAATGTGTTCATAAATATCCCATTTTCATTATACTATTGAATTATTTTTTCATTTAGACTATATAGTATTTATAAATATTGTCAGTTTTATAAATATTTATTGAAATATAAAAACATTTACATTTTTAAAATAGAGTTGACTTTAACCTTTAAAATATCTGGGGATAAGAAAATGAACAATAAATTGAAACAATACAAAAGTAAAAATAACAAAAAGTTCTTACCTGGGATTTTATCTGTTCCCAATTATGCATAAATGTTCCATGTAAACCAATCTTTTTTGTTGTGGTTTTCATAGAAATGTTAACCTGAAACATTAAAGGAAAAAAGAAGTTGCTAAGGAATAACATCTGTGAAATAGTTAAACAGATTATTGAAAAAAAAAAAAAATATCCAGTCAGAAATTATTTTCCAACAATTAAGAATATTCAAGTCTGCACTAAGGATTAAGGTAATGACTGGCCATCTATTATTGAACATGAAGAACCCTGCTAAATTTTATTTTATACCCGGTAACCAAAAAATATCTGTTTAAGATGTTTTTTTTATATCTGTGGATATTGTGGGAAAATTGTTTTTTTAATAATGAGTAATAAAAAAATGCAACAAAGAAACGATTTTCCAATGATGATTGTAAAAGCTGGAATCATATTACCTGTCCATCATTTTCATCAAACATAGTCGGCACTGTCGTATCGCTTATAAAATACAAACATTTCCTGCCAGTCCTCTTTTCCTTTTGTTGTTCTAGTGTAAAACCTCATTAAATCATCAATTAAATAATTGAAACACGTTAATAAGAAGACTATTTTTACTTTCTTCCCAACCCAATGCAAGACAAAAGTAGTTTCTTCCAAAACCTAAAACAGGAAATGACTTGAAAAGTAAATCAAATCTTTAAGTTTGGTTGTTTCAACTCAACAAGAATACCATAGAGAACCTTAATTCATTAACCCTATGAATACTGGATCAAGAAAATGAAAATGGACATCCCATAACCATGTTTAAATCCCATTGAATAAATTTAGTAGAAACTTTTTTTTTTCAAACTTTCTTTCTGATCAAGGATGAATTGAGCTTTGATATTGAATACAATTATTAATGGATATATATAGAATATATATATATATAAACACAGAGATATTTATTTATATATAAAACCAGAAAAAAAGAATAAATATTTATGGGTAAAAGTCAAGTTTTGTATGCTTTTATCTTCTTTGTTTACATATTGAGCATGCACCTTCACCTAAAATACACAACCTGTTAATTTCCATAATATTACAAACACGTTATATTAGTTGATAGTGTACGGAAAAATTCCAATAGCCAAAAATACTATTAATAAAAGAGTACCTAGAGATTGAAAATCTTAATAGAAAATATGTCAGTTGGAACATTTTCTTTATTAAAAATTTGATCTCTAGACATTAGTTTTATGGTTTTAGAAAAAAAACAGGGATGTCTACTCATACATTTGTAGTCACTAAATGTAATGTTTAAAGTCATAATTTTAATTTTCAATTTTAAACTTTAAAATTCTAGGGTGATTTTGTTTGAAAAGAAAAATTTTTATTTTACCACTCTAACCCAAACATTAGAAGAATTAATGATAGGATGTTTGGTTTTTGTCAATTTTTTTTTTTAAATCCTGTTATATAACAGAAATTTTGATTGGTCGAAATTAAGTAGTACAGTAGACAGAGTCTTGAAAAACAATGGTAGGGAATTTGGTTGAATAATTTGATTGTTTAAAAGGTTAAAAAAATCCATTAAAAATAATTAATTGGTATGTGAAAAAAGTTTTGAAAAAAACTTATTTGAAATAATGTAGTGATTTGGTAACTGGGAGGCATTTGGAGTAATTTTTGAATAAATTATCAATTGGAGAGCCGAGTTCAATTTCCAGTCAAATCCATTATATAAAAGTACCCTTTTTGAAATTTATAATATATTATTTAGGCTTTGTTTAAATAGCATTGACAGACCATTTTATTTCATATTTTAAGCTTTTATTTTGTACCAGTTTAAAAAAAAGCATAAAAATATATATATATATAATATATATATATATATATATATATATATATATATTTTACATGAATCATTCTTACAAAAAACAAATTTTATGGGTTAATGATATTTTTTTTATGTAATTTTACTTGCATTCTTAAACAATTTTATTAAAATTACATTAACCCACGAACTGTCTAAATCAGTGGTTTTCAACCTTTTTGCTGGTGCGGAACCACAAGGAAACATTCCAGTGGCTTGAGGAACCCCTGCAATAAATTAATTGTCTTAAAAAAAAAAAAAGCTTTCAATTATTAAAATAAAATAAAAATACTCATCTTCAGATTTATTTACAAAATATACAAAGACAAACTGTAAAAATATTGTATACGTACATATGCAATTTTAATCTTGCTTCTACGGTTATTACACATGTATTAAAAAAAACTTCAGTTTAAATGGATTACATTTATTTTCATTAAAAATTCAATGAGAAACTTGAACCTGATGTTTTTGCACAAATCTTTATTATTGGGTTGTGTTTTTGACAGACACACACAAAGTTCATCTTCCACAGACAGCAATTGGTGCTCGCTTCTTACGTTTGATGGTTGTCAGAGCTGAAAATCCAGATTCACATAAGTAGGATGTTGAAAACTGCATAAGAAGGCGCAGTGCTTTCTGGGTAATTGCAGGATATTCCTTTTTAACCAGCAACCAGAATGCATTCAGGCTAAACTCAGAATGCTTCAATTTTAATGTTCTGTCACTTGAAACACTGGCAAGTTCTTCTTCTTCTTCTGTTAATGTAAACTGTTCTTCAGATGGTTCAAATTTCACAAATGGGCTTCTAACCCAGTCATACTGGTCGACAGATATGATGGAAAATAAAATTTTTAACAAAGTGTCCAAGTGGTTTAAGATCAGTAACAATTTCTTGTCAATTCCTTTTAAGTGGTTTGGAAGATTTCCAAATTTCCTGCAGCTTGTTTCATTCATTGTCAATTTTTTTCTAAAAGCATTTATTTTGTCAAAGAAGATAAGATATTTTCATTCCTGCCTGCATGCTACTGTTGCGTTCAATTCATGAAATATATTGCAAGAATTGCAAACTTGGAAAATGGTCATTTCAATTTTCTACAAAATCTTTCAATATAAACAGAAGGTCAATAACTCTTAGTTTGTAACTAGAAACAATACCATTAGTTGACAACCATCGTATCTCTGAAGCTGGATTTAAAATCTGCTTTCATATAAATTTGCAAACTGTCAAATTTAAGTGGTCTCATCTTGATGTAATTAACTATTTTACCACCATATCCAATGCAATTTTAGTTCAGGTCCAAGAGTTTTAGCATTTAACTAATGCTTCTCTACGAATAAAACAAAGTATGGATAATTTTAAAGCCTTTGAGACATCCTGTCATTACCATCTGTACAAATACCAACAAATTTTTTTTTCAAATACGAATTCAAAACATCAAATAATCTTGTCCTTTTGTTTTTTATTCCTTTGCAGCACAGGAATTCGACAGCATCATCATCAATAAAATGAACAAATACAAAACCAGTGATGTCTATACACTCATCAACTTAAAGGGCAAACAACTCATTTTTATTTTGGCACTCAATGTCTTTGACATGTCTTGAATGCGACTATTTATTATTTTGTCAGAGAGTGGATTTTAGTCTCATACACCATCCTCTCAAAAAATAAAAAATTAGATGATTTCATTTTTTTTTGCAACTATTTCCACAACAATGAGATTCTTGTGCTTTTGCCGTTAAACTTTTTGGCAAACACAGAAGCATGCTTTTTATTTAATGCCAATTCTCTCTTAAAATATTGTTCATTTTTGTCTGACAATTGTGGATGTTTACTTGTTAAGTGTTGTTTCAGTTTACCTGGTGCCATGGCACTATTGGCCAACTTCTCCCCACAAACAATACAGAGAGGTGAAGGGCAGTCTGGGTCTCCAGTGCAAGTAAATCCCAGAGCTATGTAGTTTTCACAATATTGACAAACTTTTGGTTGCAGTTTGATTGTAACAGAGGTAAAAAAAAAAAAATATTTTTACCAAGATTTTTAAAAATAATAATTTCAAAAATAATTTCATTCATTTGTGAATAAGTCCTGAAAGTTTCATTGAAATCCAACAATTATTTGATTTTTGCAAGAATTTCCAAATTAATGTGTTTGTCATCAAAAAAAAGTGGGTGATATAATTTTTACGTTTTCCATTGTAAAACAGTCGTAACGTTTGTTTAACCACTAACTCAAATCAAAACAAAATTTTCTGACAAAATTTTGAAAATGTTCGAAGGGATTAAAAGATTTTAAAAAATAATTAAAAATTACTTTGATCTTTCCTCTTAATAAAAATATAAACATTTTGATGGAAAAAGTTTGTTTTATTAAGTTTGGGATCTTTTTTTATTCATACTATGCTGTTTTGTTATTGATTTAGTGGAGGTACCTAAACACACATATCTGCACAGGAGAATTAAAAATTACTGTCAATCATAGTACTTGTGTAACTTCTTGCGGAACCCCTGGACTTTACTGGCGGAACACTAGGGTTCCATGGAACCTTGGTTGAAAACCACTGCTCTAGAGGAATGTTATGATCCCTGTTTTTAATAAATTCAAGTTGTATAAGGTCTTTTTTGCTAGTACTTTTATCTGTTCATACAGACATCATCAGGCATGGAAATTGATTTGTTTTTTTTTTAGTACATCTAGGTAATAATGGCACACAAAAGATTAGATGTGAATCGAAATATTTTTTTTTAGAAATGTGTTATTGTGAATGGTAAGAAATTTTGAGCATACGGTCACAACGCTAAGGTTGATTTTTTTGAAAATTTAAAAAATTTTTTTTTTTTTTTTTACTAATATGGTAATTGGAGAAAATTTTGTAGTAGTAGATTTTTTCAGTCGATGTGGCATGAACTAAATTGTTCAATAAATAGAGCAATGTTGCATTATTATCCTGACATATATTTTATATATATATATATATATATATATATATATATATATATATTTATTTTTTTTTTTTTTTTACATACGCCCCTTTTCTACTGTTATGGCATCAGTAGGAGGTACCGTAACTGATAAAAATTCGAATTTCTTAAAAAAAATGGTCTCTTTCCCAATTAATCAGAAATGGCTGAACTGAAGGAAATTAATTGAGGAACAAACACATTAGGTAACAAATGTCAGAAAGTAAGATATAGAGATAACAAGCAAATAGTTTATTATTAAAATATACAAATGGAGAGAAGGTAAAAGAAGGCAAAACAAAAACAGTAAGACAAAAATAAATGTTGTGGGACAGAATATTGGTGGGGGGGGACTGAACCTCTCAGGTAAACAGTAACAAATGATCTTGTGCTAAACCTGCACGTAATCACAAAACATGAAAAGATAAAATGAGCAACAGGGGAAACATGTAAAAGAAACAATGGACTTATCTGGTAGTCATAAAATTTTTTTTTTTCTTTTTTATCTTCTTTTCTCTTAATGTCGTTTATTAAAAAAAAAAGAAGAAAAGAAACGCATATATTTCTTTTACTCTTTTATCTGTTCTCCTCCTTGTGGACATGCGGTTGGTTTGTAAAACTGAGTTTCTTTTGGTTTCTTTTCTCTCTTTCTCTTCTTTTATTGTCTAGGGGGTTGAGCGATAAAATATGTATCTTTCTTTTGTTTTGATGTATTCACTTTTCTAGCCCGATGATGTTTGATTCACTGAATTAAATCTTTGTTGAATCTTTTCGACTTTGGAAATCTTATTAGATTTCTATGTTTTCTGCAAATCCGAACTTATATCAGATTCTAGCAATTATAGCTAGCCATCTGTTCAGTTCATATTCTGAAGAGGGACTGTTTTCATCTTAGAAATCTTATTAGATTTCTATATTTTCCTCAAGTCTGAATTTATAGCTGATTATAGCATTCATAGCTGAGTGTTCAGTTTGGATTCTGAAACGGGACTAACTTTTTTTACTTTTTGATTTTGACATGTGACCCATGATTTCTAAATATGTGTGGGTGAAAAGAGGTCACTGACCATTTTCCTTCTGCAGTATTACAGAAAGTCTGTATTATATTCAGTCATATTGCCTCGTTGTCACATGATCAGAGAAATTGTACAATCTTTGCTTGGTGGCATGCAAGTTTGAACGAGAACTGTTACCCGTCAATTCTATTTTTTTTCCCACACATTCTGAGAGTATTGGAATTTCATTTAGAATGCTTCTAAAATATAAGCCTTAACATTTCATTGATTCTGTAATAAATTTAAATGAGGGTTTGTATATTTTACGTAATAATTCATCATGTCTAAACCTAGAAACCTCAACAGAATGCAGAAAAGTATTGGATGGCCATTTTGTCCTATTTTTGGGACTCATCAGCAGTACCCATCCACTACCGAGAATCAAATCCAGACTGTAACAATACAATGCAAGCAGGCCTTGGTGATGAAGAGAAAACTAATTAGCTAGAGATGCAATATAGCATAGCTAATCCTATTTCCAGTGGTGATACTCATCCAAGTATACATAACCCACAGGACAAGCCTCAAAAGCAACAACCTTCACCAAGCCACTCCATCTAGAGCATTAGAGTTCTGGACCTGGTATCTTACTTATTATAAAACGCAGATTGTGTGTGTGTGTGTGTGTCTGTACGTTTATATATTGGATCGGATTTCCTACATTTTTCAACTGATTTCAACAAAACTTCACAGGACTACGTAAAATTACCTTGCGGTGGTTCTGACAGCGCCAAAAATTGGAAAAACACAATTGTTTTTGCATGATATCAATTTGAAAACATGATTAAGAGGCATTAATGAAAGGGGGACAACTCATATCGAGTTATACTTATTAATATCGAGTTATTGAGTTATACTTATTATAAAACTCAGGTTGGTTTGTGTGTGTGTGTGTGTGTGTTCATTTATATATGGGATCGGATTTCCTACATTTTTCAACCGATTTCAACAAAACTTCACTTTTTTTGGCAGGTAGTGTTTCTTATTGTCTTGCACACTTTTTTTCTTTTATTTTTACATTCAGAATGCTTTAAAATTCCATTTACAAGACAATTGTTTATAATAAAATTCTATTCAATTGGTAGACTCATAACGATTGAAAACAATGTTTTTGTTTGAGTTTGGGTTTGACCAATTAAAAAAAAAAAAAAAAAAAAAAAACTAATTAAGACATGTAAGTCCATCAACCTTAAATAATAATCTTTGTCAATTTTATTTTTCAGTTTTTATGATGGTCGATATTTGATCTATCTCTTATTGTTACATCCCTGGGCAACGCCGGGCTCTACTGCTAGTAGGTTTATATAACTGAATAGAAATCTTGGGAATTTTAATAATTTTATATAATAATTCAAAATTATTCAAATCCCCAAAATTTCTATTTAGTTATATAAACCTATGCTAAATCCAGCTCTGGATTGAGTGAATTGGTGAAGGAAGTTGCCAAGTGGTATAATCAATTGATTGCTTATTTTCTCATTTTCGTTAATTTTATATTAAGTTTAAAAATAATTTATGCACTTATTATTGCTGTTAGGGTAATTTTTTTCTTTTTGTGTATGTTTGTGTGTGTACACATGTGTATATATGTGTGTGTGTATGCCTGTATGTGTGTATGCGCTTATGTGTAGAATGTCATAGTTATTCCATTTCCCTTTTTTTGGCTCTGAGTGTCAAAGGTAATATAGCAATGTCATTTCCTGTGTCATAGACAGAACTTATTTTTAGGGTAATTTTTCTTGAATGGAAAGTTAAAAGTATAATTTCAATGGTAAATCATAAATTGAAAACTTACTGGCAAAGTGTGTCCATTAGTGGCTTTTATTTGTAGGGTCCCTCCAATTCGCTGGATGGCATACCGTTTCTTAGGATCATTTCTCACCATTTTTATAATATCTTCTTCCTTGTATCCGCTTGGAATGTGTTGCAGGAGATCAGATACATTGACAAAGCCATCTATAAATACAATTTGTCCTAATAAATAAATTTTCAAGATTAGATTGAAAAAGTTTATTCAAAGACAAGGTTGATTCTATCTAATCAAATATGGTTGGATTTAGCCTCTCTTTATCCATCTATCTGTGTGTGTGTGTGTGAGAGTGTGTGTTTCTATACTCAGCAGACCTTACTTTCTAGGAGAGAGTGTATTATCTGGTGTGATCAACAGTCTGAACAAAGCTTATACACTCAAACACGTCAACAATTGATTTTGTGCTTGCACAACCATCAACGGCTCCAAAATAATTCTTTCTACCCAATTTCATGCATACTGGGATCATTCTAACCACTTAGCTACGCACCCATATATTTTTATATATATATATATACAAAGAATAATCACACATAGAATTAATCAGAAGTATCAATGCGATTATTGACGACATCCATCGTTAGAAAATATAATATATGCATTAAAATCCTGTTCATCCATAGTGCGAGTTTTGATCCTTGAAGAAAAACTTGTTGTCTGTAGTTTTTCAGTTTATTTGATGTTAAAATGCTAGTACTTACGGACAGTCTTCCATCCATCATCAGGCATGTGTTTTTTTTTTATAAAATAAAAAAACTTGAGACGATATACCTGTATGTCGACCGAAAGATGTTTTTGAATATCTGCTATTATTGACGGTTGTAAGATATCGGAACGTGCAAAGACGCAACGCTAAGTTTTTCAAAATTTTTAAGTGAGAATTTTATTTAAATATTTCTTGTGATGTGTTAAATCCACGTATTCTATTTTTACAAGTGTATTCAGTTTTTATGTCATGATGAAAGTATATAGTTCAATAATATAGTGTAATGTCATAGTAGTAATATAATAATAGCAGATATTCAAAAACAAACAAGCCTCATACTTGATAAGTAAATACTATGAAATTACAACAAATCACAATTTTGCTTAAAAAGTTATTCAGTGCAGAAATTTACTGGTATACAAAAGGTCAATTCATCCTGATTTTTAATGGTACTGGTAGTTTTTAGATTTTAATAATTTTAAACAAAAAAAATCATGAGTAAGAGAAATAGTTATGAAGTAGGTTTTAAGTTTAAATTGGTGGATTATACAGAAGAGAATGGAAACAGATCTACAGAAAGAGAGTTTGGAGTTTCAGAAAATATGATGAGAGGATTGAGAAAGCAGAAAGAAAATAAGGAAAAAAAGCAGCAAGGTTTATAGTATCATTGAACCAAAATCTTGAAAAAGAATTGTGATTGAGTCATAGGTCTCAGAAATAATGCCTTAACTGTAACCAGACTTTCAATAAGAACTAAAGCCCCTCTGCTTACTCCAAAAAGTACCATCGTATGCAATTTTAAATCCTCAGCAGAGTGGTATACAATATATATGAAAAGATGTGGACTAACTATATGCCAAAAAACTCATATTGCTCAAAAACTACCAGAAGAGATTGATGAAAAAAATTTATAATTTTGTAATATTTGTTCTGAAGGAGGGTAAAATGCTTGGGTTATCCCTAGAAAATATTGGAAACATGGGTGGAATCTCCCATGTATTTCAACATGCTGGGAAATGCTACTGTAGACAGAATGGGAAGCAAAACTGTTAGAGTAAAAACTACAGAGCAGGAAAAATAACATTTTACTGTAGTGCTAGCCTGTCAAGCTAATGGGGAAAAAGCTTCATCTAAAGGTTATCTTCAAAAGGAAGAATATGCCAAAATGATTCCTTTCTACCAGATGTTATTGTGAAAGTACATCCTAAAGGATGGATGCATGAAAATTTAACACATGTTTGGTTGGACAAAATTTGGATGAAAAGACCAGGGCCTTGCTCAAACTCAGAAGTCTTCTTGTATGGGACATGTTTAAGTTATATATGTGTGAGTCTGTGAAGGTTAAGTTGAAGAAATACCAAACAAGACAAGCAGTCATTCCTGGTGGTTATACCTCTCTTTTGCAGCCACTTGATGTTTTGGTAAACAGGCCTTTCAAAACTTACATTCAAAAATTGTGGACATCTTGGATGATATCTGGTGAAAAAAAATTTACTAAAGATGGGTCATTGAAAAGATCTGGATTGAGCTTATTAGTAGAATGGGTGAAGGAAAACTGGGACAATATCTCTGAGGAACTAATTATCAGGTCCTTCAAAATTAGCCTAAAAAATGTCCAGTCAATGACACTAGAAATAACATTGTTACATCATCTTTGACACTCAGAACCAATGACAGAATTAATTAAAAAAAACAATTAAATTGATTTATTGGTTCTCTTTCAAAAGAACTCAACTGAAGAAATGTGTAAAGCAATTAAAATGAATACCAAAGACCAAATGTTATATAGTACATAACAATTACAGGCTAATTAGATTTAATATTAACAACTACTCCTTATACTTATAGACCAGGTAGTAGGACTTAATGTAAATAGATTCCAACACATTATTTTTTATTCATGTTTTATTGCTTTAATTAAATTGTCCCTAGTAAAATTTATATATATATATATATATATATATATATATATATATATATATATATATATATATATATATTTATTTATATTTTGGTAAGATTTGATAGTGGTACTTTAAAAAATTTTCCATCTGAATTACTTACTTTCTCCTTTAATAAGTCTGACATTCTTTAGATTGATGTTCTGGTTGAACTTATTTTTATGCATAATTAATGCATTTACTTTGTTTTGTAGCATATCTATGGACGATAATGGGTATGTCTCCATTCACATAATTACTCTAATTTTCTATATGTGTGCAGATGTACGTGACACAGGGCTATATCATTTTTACTGTGTGTATAAATTCCAGCAGTAAACCACATGAAGTAAAAGTTGGTGTGCATGTGAGAATTTTAGTTTCCTTTGTGTAACAAACAAACAAACATCCTGGTTCACTGAAAGACTAGTTAGTGAACAAGAATTGACCATATTAATAATAAAATAGTAGGCTCTGGATGAATCTAAAATTTATATTTATTAATCTCAAGCTTATTGGCTAATATATATTTTCCCAATTTTAAAATATTCTTTTTAAGGAAGAAAAATATTGTTGATCAGATTCTGAAGTTGAGCCTCCAAAATTTCATTCTAAGATATTTTATATCTGCCATTTCAAAGAATACCATGCATTTTGTAGGACATCACTGGTTGGTTAATGTATATAAATACAAAAATTCAAATATCTGGAGCCTATCAATGTACAAAGATTGAGTTACATTCAGTGTGATGAGTTTTCAGTGACAGTACTTAAATTTATTAGCATTTTTTTACAATTCTGAAACAGGGCTCCACAAATGTTTAGAAAGCATTGTGCTGTTTGCATATTTAGTATTTGTAAAGAATGTTTTTGTCTGTAGTTTCTTTGTTTCTAGGATCCTTCAGTTACTCCTATCTATATTTTTTTAACAAAGAAATTATGCACACAAGAATAAATGAATTCTTTGAAGTGAAATTTCGGTTTTATTCGAAAGCTAATCGATATTAAAAGAAAAATTAATTTTTGTATATAATTATAATCCACTATTTGTCCTAGAGTTGTATTTCAAAGTAAATTAGTAATTTTAAGGATTAATTAACTTGATTTTATAAAAGTAATGTTTATTTTTTTTTACTTAAAACTTAATAATGAAAATAATGTTTATTTAAATACAGTAGCCTGTGAGATCAAAGGTTAAAAGTAAAAACTGTATAATTACACTCCTGATGCTCAAAAAATTAAAATTAAAAAAATACAAAACATCAGCAGTGTAATAATCAAGAAATTGGTATTTATGCTTAAAAATAAATTATCTTTAACCTCATATAACCAATAGTTTAAGAATATATTTTTATTCTATACACTTTTATTAAATTTAGTAAAATGGATAATTTTATTTTTTTACATTAGAAGTAGTTAATTTTTTTATTTAAATAATACTTTTGAGTTTAATTCATTGCTTTTATTTTTTATTATCTTATATATCTCATGACATGAAATATATAATTACAACCAATGTGATTTTTAAAATTATTCTGAATTTAAGAAAATGTATTAAAGTAAAGGAAAAAAAATGACAAAAAGTGGTAAAGAGTTATTGAGTTGATAATGTTAATTGTTAATTGATTGCATTCATTTTTTTTTTTTTAAATTATTTACTGGAATCCAAGTATTTTTATTCTATCTATAAAATTATTAGAATCCTATATAAGCAATAGTTTAAATATACAATTTTTTTTTATTCCATATGCTTTTATGAAATTTATTAGAATGGTCAAATGCAAAATCAGAATTATTTCCCTTTTGCACATCCATACAAAAAATAATCTAAGTTACTAAAAAGAAAAAAGAAAAGAAAATGCTTTTAAAAAAGGTTCACACTTTGAAAAGGGCATTAAATTTTACATCTTTTTTATTCTTCAAATATGTCTTTATGTAGGTACCACCACAGAAATGGGATACCTAATGTTTATAATGAATTTTTTAAATGAATTTTTTAAAATGAAAAATCTCTCCTAACATTTTTTAATTTCAAGCTAATAGATTTAATTTATTATTTCCAATAAGCAAATATTTTTCTGTATTTCAAAACTAACTTAAATTGACTGGAAGGAGTTTTCATTTTAAAATTGCTAGAATCACTGATGTCACTATTTTTAGACATCTTTCATTACATTGTAAAAAAAAACTTTATCAAAAAAACTTTCAAAAATAAAATATCTTTTCTGAAACTTTATTTGAGGAATATTAGCTGATTTAAAATTTAATCTGATTTGAAACAAATATTATTTACTTTAAGTTTAAAATATCACAGAAATGCATTTTTTAACATGGCAGTAGCTGTTTATTTAAGATGTTGTCAGGTTGATTGACAGATGGAAGTTTATCTCATTTTTTTCTTTCTATGGTGGGCATATATGTAAAATTTACTTGAGAAATATAATGTGATCACATTTTTTATATAATTTTTTAACTACTCAGTAATCTTAAAAATTTAGGA